ACAACCACATCTTTGCTTGGGGTAATGGCGGGAATGGGCGTCTGGCAATGACGTCGACTGAGAGAGCTCATGGCTCAGATATTTGTACCTCGTGGCCTCGGCCAATATTTGGATCATTGCATCACGTTCCAGACCTGTCATGCCGTGGCTGGCACACCATCATCATTGTTGGTAAGTGTAAGTTTAGGATGAAGTTTTGGGATCATGGTTATGATGATGTATTGCTTGCCAGGACCTTGACTATAAATCCTGCCTGGCAGCAGGCCACATTACTGGGGGAAAATGCAGCAAACTGCTCTGAGCTATAGGCCTACAACATTGGCTTTATAAGAGTTGTCTTGCTTTCCATGTGGCACTCTAACTGAGAGCATGCTTCTGTCCTTGCAGAAAAGGTGTTGAACTCTAAAACGATCCGATCCAACAGCAGTGGCCTGTCCATTGGTACTGGTGAGTAACCTTCCCTGGGGAGCTGTGGTTTAAGTCCTTTCAGTGGTTAGTTTGAGTGGATGCAGTTTGGTCCTGCAGCATGGTTTCTCTGTGTTTGAAAGGCCTCACAGAAGATCTCAAAGGGAGGCAATCTCGTTGGTGCCATACATGGGAAGGGATGGCTCAAAACTGAGAAAGTGACAACTGAAACAGAGGAGAAAGAACATGGGTGCAGAGAGGCCTTTGAATTGAGGAACTTCAATTTGACATGGAAAAGCTGAAAGGAATTCACTGAAGGGAGCTGATAAGGGAAGAGGGGCTATGGGGCAGCTGCTGGAGAGATGGAGTCCAGTGACTTGGACCTGTGGAAAGACTGGGGCCAAGAGGCTGTAAAACGCTGCTGCACACAAGCCCTTTGGGGGAGGCCTGCAGGGAGTGTTAGGAGCTAAACTGTTGACACCACTAGCATGTGCTCTCACCATGACAGGACAGCCCAAATTTATGCATCTTCTCTGCTCCATCTGGGGGTTAGCAACAGGAATAGCAGAGGTGGGAAAAGTATAAAGTTTTCCGTCTTGTTTGCTAGTGACTCAGAGTTGCACAACTGGAGGAGGAGAGGAGGAAGATAATGAACAGGAAGCAGAAACCCCCAATCCCAGTGGAGGCTTTCGGGGCACTATGGAAGCAGATCGTGAGTTGGGGGGCTGGATCAGCACCGCCGAAGCTAAGGGAGGCAACAGTGCTGACAGCAGCTCCTGCCCTGGCTGGCTGCGAAAGGTAATGTGGTGTCTCAGAAATGCCTTAAAATGGGGATCTAGGCTGGGGGAAACCAGGTTGCCTGCTTCCACCTTTGAGGGATGCTCTGGTAGGTCCTTAGAGCTGTCCTGCACAGAGCCCTTAAGGCCTCGCTACCTTTTTAACCACAAGGGGGTGTTGGTGCATTGGTTGAGAAAGTGAAATGAGCTGCCTAAGTTGGCAGGCCTGACAGTGCCACTTTTGTGTGTCCAGGAGCTGGAGAACGCTGAGTTCATCCCCATGCCTGACAGCCCCTTTCCTCTGAGCATGGCATCTTCAGACCCCGAGAAGGAGACTCTTCCTTACCAGAAACTTCAAGGACTCAAAATGGCCCCTGAGGAACCTGTTGGATTAAACAAGCCCAAAACAGAGGCCTGGGTAATGTTAACCAAGTGAATGTTGGCTAAAAGCTCTTGGGGACCATAAATGGCAATGTTTGTATTATGGGGAGAGCTGAGAAAAGGCTGTTGGATTGGCCTAATTCATCTGGATGAGAGGAGGGCTGATGATAATCAGAGATGATTCTGCTAAGAGAACACAAGTATCTAGAACACAAAGCTGGGGCTTAGACAGATTTAAAGTAATGAGATCAGTTCTGTGGAAAAATGTGGTTAATGCAGTTTGGTAAAAAAGAGAAGGCAAGGGCCCAGAAGCCTAGCAGAAGATAGAAATTTAGAAAGCAGAATTTCCCATGAGATAGGTCGAAGAATTGACATAGAAAATAATTTTTAAAATTACAACCTGTGAGACTACTTTATTCCAGGAGTTTTTTATCCCAAGAGGATACACAGATCCCATGCTTAGGGA